TGACACCGAAAACGGCATTTTAGGGCTTTGGTCGAAATGGAAAAATTATTCCTCATAAAATTTCACTATAAATATCTGCACACAAGAAATCGATAGCTGCAATATATTCCCATTAAATATCGATTAGAATTTGTATATAAAATAAAGCATATTTTGTGGGGTTAATTTTGTACTTTTCCCATTGCCAAGCAAATTTGACCCCGAAAAGGTTATTTTTGAAAGTTGATCATAATGGAAAAATTATTCCTCATAAAATTTCACTATAGGTCTCTGAACACAAGAAATCTGTAGCTGTAATATAGACCCATCAAAAGTCAGTCAGAAATCGGATATCAAACTAAAACATATTTTGAGGGGTTAATTGCGTATTTCTCCCACTACAAAGCCTTTTTGACCCGCAAGAGGGCATTTTAGGGCTTTGGTCGAAATGGAAAAATTATTCCTCATAAAATTTCACTATAAATATCTGCACACAAGAAATCGATAGCTGCAATATATTCCCATTAAATATCGATGAGAATTTGTATATAAAATAAAGCATATTTTATGGGGTTAATTTTGTACTTTTCCCATTGCGAAGCAAATTTGACCCCCAAGAGGTCATTTTTGAAAGTTGATCATAATGGAAAAATTATTCCTCATAAAAATTCACTATAGGTCTCTGAACACCAGAAATCGGTAACTGTAATTTAGACCGATCAAAATTCAGTCAGAAATCGGATATCAAAACAAAACATAGTTTGAGGGGCTAATTTCGTATTTCTCCCATTACAATGTCATTTTCACCCTCAAGAGGTAATTTTTCGAGGTTGATCATAATGGAAAAATTATTCCTCATAAAATTTCACTATAGGTCTCTGAACACAAGAAATCTGTAGCTATAATTTAGACCCATCAAAAGTCAGTCGGAAATAGGATATCAAAACAAAACATATTTTGAGGGGCTAATTTCGTATTTCTCCCTTTACAAAGCTATTTTGACCCCGAAGAGGACATTTTAGAGCTTTGGTCAAAATGGAAAAATTATTCCGCATAAAATTTCACTATAAGTCTCTGAACACAAGAAATCGGTTTGTGGAATATAGACTCATCAACACTCAGGCAGAAAACGGATAGAAAAATAATATATAGTTGGTGGGGTTAAAATCATACATTTTTCATTATTTCCAATTTCGAACCCCAATGGCTAATTTTTGGAGGTTAATCATAATTGAAAAATTATTCCTCATAAAATTTCACTATAGGACTCTTAACACAAGAAATCGGTAGCTCTAATTTAGACCCATAAAAAATCTGTCAGAAGTCGGATATAAAAACAAAGCATATTTTGTGGGCTTAATTTCGTACTTATCCCATTGCGAAGTCAATTTGACCTATAAGAGATAATTTTTGGAGGTTGATCACAATGGAAAATTATTCCTCATAAAATTTCACTATAGGTCTGTGAATACAAAAAATCCATAGCTCTACGAAATAACTGATAAACAAACGGCAACAAATTGCTTATAGAAACCTAGTTCGTACATTATCCTTTGCAAAGCCCCATGTTGGACCCTGAAAATAACTTATAGAGTCTAGTCTAGAGGATTAATATATTTTACAAAAATATTCGTTAGGTAGTAGACAATAATATTGCCTCTCACACCGAGGACCTATAGTATTGGGATTTCGAATAAAAATAATAAGTTTTCAAAATTCAAATTATTTTCCCAAAAATATAGATTTTCTTTGGAGGAGAGCTATCAAAAAAGCCCATAAAGAGAGCAGCTACGGCCTGAATATATTTTACAAAAATATTCTTTGGAGTGCTAGTAGCAATATTGCCTCACATTTCTTAGAGCTAAGGTGTCATCGGGATCCGAAAAAAATTGATATTTTAAAAATGGACCAAATTTTTAATATTTTTTGCCCAGAGTAAAGCTTCAAACCCCTCTCCTCTTTCTTTAGATATTTTTTGGTAGAATTCTATTTTTTTTTTTTTTTTTTTGCTTTTGTTCCACTGTGTAAATGTGTAGCCCACATTCCTGAAATGTTGTCAACCTCTGCCAACCGGCCTAAAGACAAGTTGCACCACCACCCTGCTGCAGCTTTGTAATTGTTTTTTCCCAGGAAATTCCCATTTAAAGCAAAATAATTAGATAACGGCATACCATATCTAGTTTCGCCGATATCTATAAATGCAACTAGGCCTGTTTTGAGCCGGTTCCAACCTGCAGTAGCTACCTAAGTTCTCTGTGTTATACAAACACCTTACAAAGTCGCTGCAATCCGCTTTTGTCCTGCCTTTTCTCATTCCAAGCGATAAGATATCATCTTCATTATAAGCTTGTGAAACAACAAAATAATTAAGTGCAATAAATTGCATTCAGAATTTTATTTACAACAACAACAACAATAAAAGTCAAAAAACAAACAACAAAAACAAATTCACATTCATTACGTATTTTTTTATGCGAGGGATAAACAAATTGCAAAAAACTAAAAGCTAATTTTTTTATGGACAATGGAAATTAGACTCGAAGGAGTTCCATATTATATTCTCAGCCCCTCTCCCTCCTATCCCTTCCCTTTCGCCCCTTTGCCTAATATCACATTTCCAATTATTGATAAGTGAAACCGAGGAGGCAACCTGACCTTGGCAAGTAGTGACTTTCATTCATATTATTAACGATATCGAAATGTAATAAAAGAAGAGGGAGGGAGGGGGGTGCGATGGGGTCCATGTTAATTATTTAATTACAATCATTAATAATGGATGGAAGAAGAAATGAATACAAAAAGGAAATGAAAAAAAAAGAAAAAAACTAACCACAATTTTTTTGATAAACACAAATGTGAATCATTCATAAGAAAGAAGGCATTTACATGACACAACCATTCACGTTAGCGGGTTGAGATGCAGGGGAAAATATTCCTTATCGAATTTCACTAGGGGTCTGAGAATACAAAAAAATATAGGAATTATATATAGCAATGCAATAACGGTTACAATATGGGTATATACGAAATATATAATTTTGGGGGAATTTTTTGTAAAACATTTTCAAGTAAGCTCGAAATAACCCTCCAGAACTCATTTTCGTGGCAGGGTATTAAAGTACGAAATATTCTACAGAAAATTTCATTATAGGTCTCGGAACACAAGAAATCTCTTGGGGTAATATGTACCCCCGAAATTGACCAAAGAAATATTGGTAGAAAAATAATACACATTTTTAGGAGGATTTTTTGAAATAATATTAAATTGAGCTTGAAATATCCCTTCAGAACTCACTTTCGTGGCAGGGTATTAAAGTACGAAATATTCTCCAGAAAATTTCATTATAGGTCTCAGAACACAAGAAATCTCTAGGTGCAATATATAGCCCCGAAGTTGACCAACGAAATTTAGGTAGAAAAATAATACACATTTTTTGGTCGAATTTTTTTTAACATTTACGAAATGTTACGATTTTGGTTGCTCAAGTTGGATCTAGTGGGCGGATGTCAAGGAATGAAATATTCTCCATCAAATTTCATTATAGGTCACCGAACACAAGAAATCGCTAGCTATAATATATATCCCAAAAATATCGGCCACAATTTGGGTATTAAACACAAAGTCTCTTTTGAAGGTCAATTTCGTACTTTTCCCATTACAACGTCATTTTCACCTTCAAGGGATCATTTTTCGAGGTTGATCATAATGGAAAAATTATTCCCCATAAAATTTCACTATAGGTCTCTGAACACAAGAAATCGGTAGCTGTAATAAATACCAATCAAATATCAGTCAGAAATCGGATATCAAAATAAAGCATATTTTGAGGGGTTAATTTCGAACCTTTTTCCATTCCAACCCATTTTTGGATACAAAGAGGTCATTTTTCGAGGTTGATCATGAAGGAGAAATTGTTCCTCATAAAATTCTACTATAGGTCTCCGAACACAAGAAATCGGTAGCTGTAAAATATATTCATAAAATATACGTCTGAAAGTGGATATCAAAATAAAGCATATTTTGAGGGGTTAATTTCGTACTTTTTCCATTACAATGTCATTTTGACCACCAAGGAGTCATTTTTCGAGGTTGATCATGATGGAAAAATTGTTCCTCATAAAATTCTACTACAGGTCTCCGAACACAAGAAATCGGTAGCTGTAATTAGGACCCATAAAAAATCAGTCGGAAATCGGAAATCAAAATAATGGCTATTTTGAGGGATTAATTTCGTTTTCTTCCATTACAATGTCATTTTGTCCCGCAAGGGGTCATTCTAGGGGGTTGACGATAATGGAAAAACTGTTCCTCATAAAATTCTACTATAAGACTCTGAACACAAAAAATCGGTAGCTATAATATATATCCAACAAAAATCAGTCACAAATCTTATATCAAAATAAAGCATATTTTGAAGGGTTAATTTTGCACCATTTTCAACCGCAAGGAGTCATTTTAGAGGGTTGATCGTAATGACAAAAATATTCCTCATCAAATTTCACTATAGGTCTCTGAACACAAGAAATCGCCAGCTGTAATTTAGACCCATCAAAAATCAATACGAATTCGGATATCAAAATAAAGCATATTTTGAGGAGCTAATCATGTACTTGTCCCATCAAAATGCAATTTTCACCTCTAAGAGGTCATTTTTCGAAGTTGGGCATAATGAAAAAATTATTACTCATCAAATTTCACAATAGGTCTCGGAACACAAGAAATCGGTAGTTGTAATTTAGACCCTTCAAAAATCAGTCAGAAATCGGATATCAAAATAAAGCATATTTTGAGGGGTTAATATCATACTTTTCCCATTACAATGCCATTTAGACCCGCAAGGGGTCATTTTAGGGGGTTGATCGTAATGACAAAAACTTTCCTCATCAAATTTCACTATAGGTCTCTGAACACAAGAAATCGATAGATATAATCTATATCATTAAATTTTCTATTACAATTTATAACTTACAAATTCTAAACATTAACTAATCTCTCTCTCCCCCTCTCTTTCTCATTACAGAGGAAATTGCCCGCCAATTGACCTTCAGTGAAGCCAAATTTATATTTGGCATTGCCAAGGGCTATGATACCCTCAAGGAAGCCTGTAAGCTGGCCAAGAAAGACTTGCCCATTGCCTGCATCCGCATGTTTCCCAATGAAACGTTGCCCGATGGTGCCATCGACTTTTTCGAATTATTTAAATATTCCGACAACGTCGATTTCAATCAATTGAAACAATATGATATTTCACCCAATGATTTGGTTATGTTACCATTTTCATCGGGTACCACCGGTCTGCCGAAAGGTGTAATGTTATCCCACAACAATATTGCAATGAATTGTGAACAAGTTCAACAGGCGATACATATTGATTGTACTCAGAAACAGGAGGTACTGCCATGTGTACTGCCCTTCTTCCACATTTATGGCCTGTCAGTGATTATGTTGTCGAAAATCGGTCAAGGTGCCAAAATGGTGACACTGCCACAATTTAAACCGGAGGATTTGATGAAGGCGTTGCATGAATATCGTGCCACCATGTTGAATTTGGTGCCACCAATTGGTAAGTTATGGATTTTTTTTTAGTTTCCATCAATTTTTGAGGTGTGGTGACTTTTTGGGGAAACTCACCACACCTTGAAAATTATGTTTTTGGCATTACAAATCAATTAGTAAGTAATTAAAATAGAATTAAATGAATTTTACATTTCTCTAAACGAGAAATTTTCAAAAAATTGCCGATCCCGAACCAGTATAACAGTTTTTTTCTAAGAATATTGAATATTCTTAGCTTTTCCTATGTGATACAATTTTTTTGAGCCTTGAAATTGATTTTAGAATTTATTTCGCTTGATTTTCCGTAATTTTTGTGGTGTGGTGAATTTTCTGAAAAACTCACCACACCCTAAAAATTGCTGGAATTGCATTAGAAATTAATTCGAAGTTAAACTAAATTAAAATAAAAATGTTATTACAAAATTTTCAAAGGAAAATTTCAATATTTCCTATTTTTCCAAAGAAAAGGCAGAGCTTTTCGAAAAATTAGAAAATTATTAGATATTTCTCAGTTTTTAAATATTAGAAAATTATTTCGAGCCTTGAATTTCATTTCAGAGTTAATTTCGGCTGATTTTCCATCATTTTTGAGGTGTGGTGAATTTTTCGAAAAACTCACCACACCTTAAAAATTGATGGATTTGCATTAGAAATGAATTCTGAGTTTCATAAAATTAAAATAAAAATTTTATTGTATATTTTTGAAAGGAAAATTCCATTATTTCCTATATTTCCAAAGAAGAAATCTGAAAATATCAGAAAATTAGTAAAATTATTAAATATTTCTTAGTTTTTAAACAACGGACAATAATTTCGAGCCTTGAAATTTATTTAAGAGTTTATTACGGTTGATTTTCCGTCATTTTTCAGGTGTGGTGAATTTCACAAAAAACTCACCACACCTTGAAAATTGCTGGATTTGCATTAAAAATAATTTCCAAATCGAATAAATTTAAAATAAAAATTTTACTAATTATTTTTTAGCTGGAAAATGTTAATATTTCATATTTTTCGAAGCAAAGTCAAAGATTTTCCGAAAATTTGTAAAAATATTGAATATTTCTATGTTTTCAAATAAAAGAAACATTTTTGAGTCATAGAATTGATATAAAATTTAATTTCTGTTAATTTCCCACAATTTTTGCGGTGTGGTGAATTTCACAAAAAACTCACCACACCTTGAAAATTGGTGGAAATGACGTAAAAATGATTTCTATGTCTAATAAAATCGAAGTAAAACTTTTATGAAGCATATTTAAGAAGAAAATTTGTAATATTTATTATTTTGAATTATTTTTTTATTTCCAGCTCTCTTCATGACCCACCATCCCAAGGTAACCCCCGAAACTTGTCCCGAATTGAATGTTGTTATGAGTGGTGCGGCCCCAATTAGTGCAGCCGATGTGGAACGTTTCTTGAAGAAGTGAGTGAGAGAATACACCCCACCCCCTTTTCCGTAACATAACTAAAACCTTTCGTTTACAGATTCCCCAATACCAATTTCCTGCAAGGCTATGGCATGACTGAATCCTCTCCCGTGGTACATTTAACACCACTCGGCAATACCCGTTACTCTTCGATTGGTGTTTTGACTGCCAACACCGAGGCTAAAATCGTTTCGCTTGATGCTGATAACCACACAGGCTTGGGTCCCAATCAACCCGGTGAATTGTGTGTCCGAGGTCCTCAAGTTATGGCTGGCTATTTGAAAAATGAAGAAGCCACCCGTGAAACCTTCTATCCTGGCGGCTGGTTGCGTACCGGTGATGTGGCCTATTATGATGAGGATGGTTATTACTATATTACCGATCGTATGAAGGAGCTGATTAAAGTCAAGGGATTCCAAGTACCTCCCGCCGAATTGGAGGCTATTTTGAGAGATCATCCCAAGATTGTAGAGGCAGCTGTCTTTGGTATACCGCATCCGGTTAATGGTGAGGCACCAAAGGCCTTGGTGGTGTTGCGACCCAATATGGAAGCCACCGAAGAGGAGATCTACAATTATGTGGCCGAACGTGTGGCATCCTATAAGAAATTGGAGGGTGGCATTGTCTTTGCCAGTGAAGTTCCTAAAAATCCTACGGGAAAAATTTTACGTAAAGTATTGAAGGAAAAATATTCCAGTTAATAAGGACGACGAAGACCAGCCAATATCCGGGTGGGGGCTTCGAGAATTACAGTTACAGTGTTGATATCACAGTTATAACTATAATTATATTTGTAATATTAAAAATGTAGTTAACTAGTCTTAAGATATTTTTTAGGTCGTAAGTGTTGTCAAAAAGAAGAAGAGGAAGACAAACAAATAGGGAAGGGTAATTTTTTTCTCAAAACTATTTTTTTTATTTTAATTTTTAATTCGTTTTTATAGAAACCTCCTGCATTTATATTTGTAATCAATTTGTGTTATCAGTTTGTTTTAATTATTATTTTTTTTAATATTTTGACTTTTGAGTATTTTGTTTTTAAGTTTTGAGAAAAAATTATTGTTTTTTAGAAAAACAAAAAAAATTAGATTTTTTTTGGAGAAAAAAATAGTTTTGGCAAATGCTTTTTGAAATTACTGTTAAGGTCCGTTATAAGACTATTTTCTTGTTAAGATTCTTGTATATGTGTAGTTTGTATGTGTTATATAAATATATATTTAAAAAAATTGTAATTTTTTTTTTTTGTATAATTGATATGTATGTATATTTATATAAATGTTAAAAAAATCATAGCTATGTACGAAAAGAAAATGAAAGACAAAATAAAAAAAATTGTTTTTTAGGAAAACAAAAAAAGATTTGTTCGTTTTTAAGGTTTACAGTGGCTGAAAAAAATATTTTGAGTCCTCAAATTGATTGCTCTTGTATTTTCGGATGATTTGCCACATATTTTGAGGTGTGGTGAATTTCTCGAAAAACTCCCCACACCTTGAAAAATTCTGGGTTTGCATTAAAAATCTTTTCTTAGACGATTACAACTGAAATAAAATTAGTATTTAACATTTTCTAATAGAAAAATATCGATATTTCATCCATTACCAAAGCAGTATAACAGTTTCTTTAAAAAATTGACGGAAATAATGGATATCTTCAGACTTAGAACTATTCAAAAATTATTTTAAGTCTTAAAATAGGTTTTGGATTTAATTCCGCTTTATTTGCTATCATTTTTAGAGTGTGGTGAATTTCTCGAAAAACTCACCACACCTTGAAAAATTGCGGATTTTCAATAAAAATCATTTCTGAGACGATTACAAGTGCAATAACATTTATATTTAACAATTTATACTAGTAAAATGTCCATATTTCATCCACAAGCGAAGCAGTATAACAGTTTCTTTAAAAAATTGACGGAAATAATGGATATCTTTAGACTTAGAACTATTAAAAAATTATTTAGCGTCGTGAAATAGGTTTTGAGTTTAATTCCTATTTATTTTCCATAATTTTTAGCGTGAGGTGAATTTTCTCAAAAAACTCACCACACCTTGAAAAATTATGGATATGCATTAGAAATCATTTTTGAGACGACTATAAAGGAAATAAAATTTATATTTTATTTTTTTATTTTATATTTATATTTTTTTAATGGAAAAAATACATTACCGAAGTAATATGACAGTTTCTTTAGCAAATTGAAAGAAATATTGGATATTTCTGGTCCTGTAGATATTACAAAATTATTTTGAGTCTTGTAAAAGGTCTTGGGTTTAATTCTTGTTAATTTTCCATCATTTTTAGCGTGTGGTGAATTTCTCGAAAAACTTACCACACTTTGAGAAATTGTGGATTTGCATTAAAAATCATTTCTGAGACGATCGCAAATGAAATAAAAGTCATATATAATATTTTCTAATAGAAAAATGTCGAGATTCCATCCTTTTCCGAAACAATATAACAGTTTCTTTAGCAAATTGAAAGATATATTGGATATTTCTGGTCCTATAGGTATTAGAAAATTATTTTGAGTTTTGTAAAAGGTTTTGGGTTTAATTTCGCTTTATTTTCAACAATTTTTAGAGTGTGGTGAATTTCTCGAAAAACTCACCACACCTTGAAAAATTGTGGATTTGCATTAAAAATCATTTCTGAAGCAACTACAAATGAAATAAAATCGATATTTAACATTTCTAACAAAAATATAGATATTTCATACACTATCGAAGCTATATTATATAACAGTTTCGTTAGCAATTGACAACAAATATTGGATATTTCTGGTCCTACAGGCATTAGAAAAATATTTCAAGTCTTGAAATTTAATTTTGCCTAATTTGCCATCATTTTTAGCCTGTGGTGAATTTCTCGAAAAATTCACCACACTTTGAAAAATTGCTGAAATTCAATAAAAAACCATTTGTGAACCAATTACAAATGAAACAAAATTGATATTCAACACTTCTAATAGCATAATATCGATATTTCATCATTTACAGAAGCAATATAACAGTTTCTTTAGCACATTGAAAGAAATATTGGTTATTTCTGGTCCTATAGGCATTAGAAAATTATTTTGAGCTTTGAAATAGGTTTTGGGTTTAATTTCGCTTCATTTGCCATAATTTTTAGAGTGTGGTGAATTTCTCGAAAAACTCACCACACCTTAAAAATTTATGGATACGCAATAAAAATGATTTCTGATATGATTACTAATGAAATAAAATTGATTTATAACACTTCTAATAGTATAATATCGATATTTCATCTATTACCGAAGCAATATAAGAGTTTATTTTGGAATTTAAATTAGATATTGGATATTTCTGGTCCTATGGCCATTAGAAAGTCATTTAGTGTTTAAAAATATATTTTGGTATTCATTTCTGTTGATTTCCAACAATTTTTGAGGTGTGGTGAATTTCTCGAAAAAAACTCACCACACCTTAAAAAACTGTGATTTTGCATTAGAAATAATTTCTGAGGCGAATTAAACTGAAAACAACTATTTTGTTAAACATTTCTAATAGAAACATGTCCATATTTCACTTTTTCTCGAAGCAGACGCAGTTTTTTTTTTGTCGAAAATTATAATAAATATTGCATATTTTTGAACTTTAAAATTCTAGAACCTTATTTGGGGACTTTCAATCTATATAGGAGTATATTTTTCATAATTTAAAAAAAAATGAGGTTTGCTAAATTTTCCGAAATACCCACCACACTAAAAACATTCCTTTAAATCTTTTCAAAATATTTCTTTTAAAACTTTCGAATATTTTTAAATTCCCCAAAATTTAAGAATTTTTTATATACTCGCCCAAGAATTTATTTTTCTATTTTCTTTGAATCACCATGTTATGGAAAATTTGTCTTATTCAAGACAGGCACCAATTGTTTCACATAAATAACACACGCATGAACACCCAGTTTGTGGCTTGCAGTTTTTTCATTTCTATGTGTCACCCAGTGTCATTCTTTTAGACATTAATTATTATTCTTTCTTGTTGTGGGACTTTGTTTTTTCATTTTCAGGTAATAGGCGCCCAGTACCGAACAGTAGGTGTATTTTGGAACATCGTCGAATTCAAATGGAAATAACTCAGCGACTAGCCTTCGGGCAACACCAACTTAAAGTTGAGGAACCACAGGGGAATCTCGACCCAACCTTCAGACACAGGAGGTGACTCAACTTCGAACTCTGAGTCTGATTTGGAGAGCCGGAAGAGAGATGAGGCTGACAAGACAAGAGTAAAAATATCGCCAAACTCACAACCAGGAAGAAGCAGTTGTCTGGGGCACAAAGGCGGAAGTTGGCCAGAATGAACCGGATGAACTAAAAGAGGATAAGGTCTCGGACAGGCGACTGCCAAAATAAAAAGAGCTTCCCGTCGACCCATAATAAGAGAAAGTTGAGTCAAACCAGCGTCAAAGGAGACTGTCACGAGAATCCATTGACGAGATCAGACGATGCTGGCTCTGATATCAGGAAGACGAGTGCTGAGTCGGAATCTTCCGCAAAGACCGGGAATCCCAAAAGGACCAACCGGAAGTTGCGAAAGAGGAAGATGGCAGCAACAGATGGTAAGAAGCCGCCGTCTTATGCCAAGGTTGTCAGGAAGCGCTATCGAGACGAACTTTTTTGAAATCTTTAAAAAAATGTTTTTTATAAATCTTCATTTTTTTCAAAAAAAAAAAAAAAAAAAAAACAAATTTTTTATTTCAATTTTAAAAAATGGATTTCATTGAAAAATATTTTTCTTGAAATCATGAAATTTGTTTTTTAATCTTTAAAAAAATATTTTTTTAATCTTTAATTTTTTTTTCGAAAAAAATATTTGTTTATTTCAATTTTAAAAAATGGATTTCGTTAAAAAAATATTTTTGTTTTTTAAATCCTCAATTTTTTTTCAAAAAAATTAATTTTTTTTTTCAAAAACAAAAAATATTTTTTTTATTTCAGTTTTAAAAAATGGATTTCGTTAAAAAATATTTTTTTGAAATCTTTATATTTTTTTTTAATGTATTTTTTAAAAAATATTTTTTTGAAATCTTATTTTTTTTTTAAATCTTAAATTTTTTTTATAAAAAAAATATTAATTTCAATTTTAAAAAATAAATTTCATTAAAAAAAAATTTTTTTGAAATCATAAAAAATATATTTTTTAAATCTTCAATTTTTTTCAAAAAAAAATGTTTAATACAGTTTTAAAAAAATGGATCTCATTAAAAAATATTTTTTTTAAATTATGAAAAAAATAATTTTTTGAAATCTTTAAAAAAATATTTTTTGTAAATCTTAATTTTTTTTTCAAATTTTTTATTTCAATTTTAAAAAATGGATTTCATTGAAAAATATTTTTTTGAAATCATGAAAAATTTTTTTAATCTTTAAAAAAATTTTTTTTTAAATCTTCATTTTTTTCGAAAAAAATATTTTTTTATTTCAATTTTAAAAAATGGATTTCATTAAAAAAAAATTGTTGTAATTTTTTTGTTTGAAATGTATTTTTTAAAAAATATTTTTTTGAAATCTTAAAAAATTTTTTTTAAATAAAAATATAGCTACCGTTCGGTTATTAAAATTTTTTTTCAAAAAAAAAATTTTTTATTTCAATTTTAAAAAAATAAATTTCATTAAAAAATATTTTTTTGAAATCATAAAAAAATATTTTTTTAAATTCTCAATTTTTTTTTTCAAAAAAATTAAATTTTTTTCAAAAACAAAAAATATTTTTTTTTTATTTCAATTTTAAAAAATGGATTTCGTTAAAAAATATTTTTTTTAAATCTTTAAAAATTTTTTTTAAATGTATTTTTTAAAAAATATTTTTTTGAAATCTTAAAAATTTTGTTTTAAATATATTTTTTAAATTTTTTTTTTAATCTTAAATTTTTTTTTCAAAAAAAAAATTAATTTCAATTTTAAAAAATAAATTTCATTAAAAAATATTTTTTTTGAAATCATAAAAAAAATATATTTTTTAAATCTTCAATTTTTTTCAAAAAAAAATATGTTTAATACAATTTTAAAAAAATGGATCTCAAAATATTTTTTGAAACCATGAAAAAAATAATTTTTTGAAATCTTGAATTTTTTTAAAATCTTAATTTTTTTTTTCAAAAAAAATATTGTTTTAATTCAGTTTTAAAAAAATGTATTTCATGAAAAAAATAATTTTTTTAATCCTTAAAAAAATATTTTTTTTAATCTTAAAAAAAAAATAAAAAAAAATTTTTTTTAAGATTAAAAAAAATATAAAAAATATATAATCTTTAAAAAAAATATTTTTTTCTTAAATTTTCAATTTTTTTCAAATCTTTAAAAAAAATTAAAAAAGAAACACTTCGCTTTTTTATAATCATATCATTTTTTTATTTTTCGTTCTTTGTTTTGTTGTTGTTGTTTTTTGTAATAGATTTACAACTAAAAATAATTTAACATATTTTTTTTTAAATATAATAATAATTATTTTTTTGTTTTTTATATTCGGTATTTTTTTTTTGTTTCTTGGAATTTGTTACCATTTCTCAGTTACATTGCTAAATTCTAATATGTTTTCATTTGTTGTTGTTGTTGTTACTGTTATTAGTACATCTCGAACATGTATATTTCTTTGCATTGTTGTTGTTGTTTTTTTTTTACTTTTTTATAAAACCAATTTAATTTAATTTATTTTCATTAACTACAACTGAAAAAAATATATGCTTTCAAAAAATAGCTATTTTATTTTTTTTTTCAAATGAAAAAAAAATATTTTTTTTTAAATAAATTTTTTTAAAAATAATTTTTTTTTAAAACAATTTTTTTTTTTAAATAAATTTTTTTAAAAAATTTTTTTTAAATATTTTTTTTAATTTTTGAAAATATTTTTTTTTTTAATTTTTTTTTATTTTTTTCTTATATAAAATTTTATTTTTTTATTAACAGAATTTTAACAGGTTTTGTAATTAATTATTGTTATGTTATTTTTTTTAAAAACCATTTTTTGTTGTTAACAAAAATAATAATTTTTGTATTTTATTTTGGGGGGCAGGGTTACAAGATATATAGTAGATTTTCTTTTTAACAAGTGTGGAAGATTGTTGTTGGTTTGTTTTTTTATTTTTATTTATTTTATTTTTTTTAAATATAAATTTTATTTTTTTTTCGTTTGCCTTTCGATATTCCATGGGTACCTAGGTATGAAAACATTACAAGGGGTTGTTGTTTTTTTTTTTAATTTTCGTAATTTATTTTTTTTATTAATTTTTTATAGACTTAACATACATACATTTTATGATGTTTGTTGTTGTTGTTGGTTTTTTGCAATAAAGTAAATGGTTTGTGGTTGTTATTCATTATTTTTTTTTAATTTTCTTTAAATTATTTTACTTAGCTTAAATTCTAGGTTAGGTTTTTCTTTACTTGAAATTAACAACTATGGGGGATCGAAGGACCAAATAAAACAATATTTTAGAAAAATTCCAAAATTTTTTCTAAAAAATTTTATAATGGACCTTCAATCATCCAAGATTCTTTTTTTAAATAAAATTTTATTTTTTAACGTTTCTATTTTTTTTTTTTCAAAAAAAAATCTTCTTTAGTTTAGCTTAAAGATTTTTCTTTAATTTAAATTTAAAGAAAAATATTAACACAATATATAGAGATTTTTTTCATATACATAGAAACAAAAAAATATTTTAAAAAATAAATGGAATGTTTAGTTTTAAAAATAAAATAAAAAATAATATTTTTTTTTATAATTTCAAAAGCTTTTTAGGTTGCAACATAAAAAGTGGAAATTTAAGGAAGTGCACTGATTTGTCAAACAAATGGTATTTTTCAAAAAAAAAAAAAGAAAAAATTATTAAAATTAAAAAAATAATTTGTGATATTTTTTTTTAAAATTAAAAATAAAAATATTTTTTTTATACACAATAGAATATATATATATATAACAAAAAGTAGTTAATACACAATAATAATTATAATTAAAAATTTCAAATATCTACATTTAACAAAAAAAAATAATTAATATTAAAAAATAATAATATTTTATAATTAAAAAAAATTAAAATTAATAAAAAAAATATTGCATACAACTGTTTTTCACACATATATAGATAATTTTCCTTCATTTCAGATTTTTTTAATATTTACAAAAATTTTTTAATAATTTTTTTTAAGAAATAAATTTCAAAATTTTTTTAAAGAAAAAAAATTAAAAATTTTTTTAATGAAAAAAAAATTAAAAAATTTTTTAAAGAAAAACAAAAATTTTTAAAAAAAAAAATTTTTTTTTTAAAGGAAAAAAAATTAAAAAATTTTTTTTAAAGAAAAAAATTAAAAATTTTTTTAAGGAACAAATAAAATTTTTTAAAGGAAAAAAACTAAAAAAATGTTTAAAGATTTTTTTTTACGATTTTTTTAAATATTTAAAAAACTGTAAAGGAAAAAATTTCAAATTTTTGCAAAGAAAAATTTCAAAGTTTTTTAAGGAAAAATTTCAAATTTTTTTAAAGAAAAATTTCAAATTTTTTTTAAAAAAAAAATTAAAACATTTTTTAAAGAAAAAAAATAAAAATTTTTTCAAAAATTTTTTAAACAAAAAAAATTAAAAAAATGTTTAAAGAAAACTATTTAAAAAATTTAAAAAAAAAATAAAAATTTTTTAATGAAAAAAATTCCAAAATTTTTTTTTTCCTTCCTTTTAAGTAAAAAATTTCAAAATTTTTTAGGAAATAATTTCAAATTTTTTTTTTCGAAAAAATTTTCAAAATTTTTTAAAGAAAAACATTTCAAAATTTTTAAAGAAAAAAAATTAAAAATTTTTTTAAAGAAAAAAAAGAGTAAATTTTTTTAAGAAAAAATAAATAAATTAAAAACAAAAATTTAAGAAAAAAAGATAATTTCTTTGGAGAAAAAAAAAAGAAAAAAAATGTAAATTTTAAATATTTTTAAGAAAAAATTTAAATTTTTTTTAAAAAAAAATGGAATTTTTTTTAAAAATATATATATGATTTTTTTTAAATATATATGATTTTTTTTTTAATATATATGATTTTTTTAAAAAATATTTTTTTAATAAGAAAAAATATAAAGATTGCCTTATTAAAAAAAAAAAAATTTTCTTAAAATTCTTTTACCTTCAAAAAAATCCAAAATTGTTTTCTTTTAATTTAAATGTTTCTACGGAAAAATTCAAAATTTTTCCTTAAAAAAAATTTCTTTAAAAAATTCAAATTTTTCTTCTTCAAAAAAATATAAAAATTTTTTCTTCAAAAAAATTAAAAAAAATTTTTAAAAAAAAATATGATTTTTTGATAAGAAAAGACTTTTTAATGAAAAATCTTTTTAAAGTGGAAAACTTTGCCTAATTAAAAATAATCCGAATTTTCTTAATTTTTTTTTTCCTAAAAAAATCCAATTTTTTTTTTTCTTCAAAAATATTTCTTCGAAAAAATTAAAAAAAATTTTCTTTAAAAAAATGTTTTTTTTCAAAAAAAATCCAATTTTTCTTCTTCAAAAAACTCAAATTTTTCTTCTTCAAAAAATTTTTTTTTCATAAAAAAAAACTCAAAATTTTTTTCATAAAACAAAATAAAAAATTCTTAAAAAAAAAAATATGATTTTTTTAACAAGAAAGGATTTTTTAATAAAAAAATAGGAAATAGGAAAACTTTGCCTAATTTAAAAAAAAAAAACTGAAAATTTTTTATTACAATTTTTCTTTTCCTTCAAAAAAATCCAAAATTTTTCCTTAAAAAAATCTTCAAAAAATTCAACATTTTTTTCTTGAAAAAAATTAAAATTTTTTTAAAGAAAAAATATGGTTTTTTAAATAAGAGACTTTTTAATAAAAAAAATCTTTTAAAAAGGAAAACTTTGCCTAATTTAAAAGAAAATAAATATTTTTTCTTAATTTTTTTTTTCATTCAAAAAAATCCAAATTTTTTTCTTCAAAAATAATCAAAAAATTTTTCTTCGAAAAATTCAAAATTTTTCATTAAAAAAAAATTTTCTTCAAAAAATTCCAATTTTTCTTCTTCAAAAAATTCAAAATTTTGCATTAAAAATTTTTTTTTTTTCAAAAAATTCCAATTTTTCTTCTTCAAAAAATTCAAAATTTTTCCTTAAAAAAATGTTTTCTTCAAAAAATTCAAATTTTTCTTCTTCAAAAAAAATCAATTTTCTTCCTTTTGCAAAATTTCCATAATCAATTTTTTTCTAATGTTTCTGTGTATGTGTGTGTTTTTTGTTGTTGTTATTTATAATCTTAAACATAATAAACCAATAATAATTATGACTCGTCTCGATTGTTATGCACCCAACTGGCCGGCACCCATTGTGGTTCCCGTTCCAGCGAATTAATTTCGCCCAACAGCTGTTGATAGGCCCGTTCCGTATCATTGTTGATAATAATCATATCGAATAGATGGCCCCAGCGGGCCTCCATGTCACGGGCGGTGGCAATAATATCTTTGAGTTCTTCCTCCTAGAAAAATGAAAAAAGGATAAAATTAATATTTTGAAAAATAATATTCAAATATAAAAAAATATATTTTTTTATTTAAAAAAATCTTTTTTATTTATAAAAAAAATATTTTTTTTATTTAAAAAAAATAATTTTTTAAATAATTTTTTTTTTAAAAAAAATATTTTTTTTTTAAATAATTTATTTTTATATTTAAAAAAAATATTTTTTTTTATTTAAAAAAAATTATATTTTAAGATTTTTTATTATATTTTTTAAATATTTTTTTCTCTTATTTGAACTCACCTTAAACGGTTCACCATTCCGGATTTTTTTCTGCCGCAATTTATCTAGACTAGGTGGCGCCACCAGCACCACATATGGTTTCAAATCGGATGCCCTTAGAAGTTTTAAACTTTGTGGATGTAGATTGAGAACACAGATTTTGCCACTGGCCACAACTGTACGTATGGCTTCGAGGGAAGTGCCTGGAAAATTAAATACAAAATGTTCAAATTAATAAAAATTGAAAAAAATAGATTATAAAAAATTAGGGAAGCCTGGGAGGCATTAGAAAAAATTAGAATAAAAAACTTGTTAAAGGACCTATAAAAAATCCACGCCTTGTTAAAGGGCCTTAAAAAATATTTTGAAAAATCCACGCCGTAGTAGAGGACCCAAAAAATATTTTTAAAAAATCCACGCATTGTTAAGGAATTTTGAACCGAAATTTATTTTTTTTAATCTACGCCTCTTTTATCCTCCTTTCTAATGCAGCTCCACAACGAGCAAAGTATTTTTCGCTTTTCTTCCCCTTGTAATGCAAATCCACATCGAGCCAAAGTTCTCTATCTCTTATTTGCCTTCTAATTCAACTCAACATCGAGCCAAAATTCCCTCTATTATTTCTCTTCTAATGCAACTCCACATTGAGCCAAAGCTCTATCATCTTCTTCTTGCAATGCAACTCCATATCGAGCCAAAGCTCGATCTTTTTTCCCATTCAATGCAACTCCACATCGAGCCAAAGCTCTTTCTCTTTTCTTTCTTTCTAATGCAACTCCACATTGAGCCAAAGCTCTACCTTCATTTTCTAACAAAACTCCACATCGACCCAAAGCTCTATCATCTTCTTCTCAAAAATCTCTCTCTTCTTTCCTTCTAATGCAACTACGCATTGAGCCAAAGCTCTATCTTCATTTCCCTAATGCAATTCCACATCGAGCCATAGCTCTATCATCTTCTTCCAATGCAACTCCACATCGAGACAAAGCTCTATCATCTTCTTCTTACAATGCAACTCCACATCGAGCCAAAGCTCTACCTTTTTGCTTCTAATGCATCTCCACAACAAGCCAAAGTTCTCTATCTCTTATTTCCCTTCTAATTCAACTCCACACCGAACCAAAATTCCCTCTATTCTTCCCCTTCTAATGCAACTCCACATTGAGCCAAAGTTCTTTCTTCTTTTTCTATTCTAATGCAACTCCACATCGAGCCAAAGCTCTCTCTCTCTTCTTTCCATCCAATGCAACTCCATAACGAACCAAAGCTCTTTCGCCTTTCTTTTCCCGATAATGCAACTCCACATCGAGCCAAAGCACTATAATCTTCTTCTTCCAATGCACATTGATCCAAAGCTTGACCTTTTTCCTTCCAATGCAACTCCACATTGAGCTAAAGTTCTCTATCTCTTATTTCCCTTCTAATACAACTCCACGTCGAGGGTCCTCTATTCTTTCCCTTCAAATGCAACTCCACATTCGCTTTTCTTTTCCTTCTAATGTAACTACAAATCGAGCCAAGACTCTTTCGCTCTTCTTTCCCTTTCTATCATCAATGCAACTCCACATCGAGACAAAGCTCTCTCCCATCTTTCCCTTGTAATGCAACTCCACATCGAAACAAATCTCTCTCTCTTCTTTCCCTTCTAATGAAACTTCACATCAAACCAAAGTCTTCTCTCTCTCTTCTTTTTCTTGTAATGCAACTCCACAACGAGCCAAAGCTCTCTCACACACACTCTATCTCTCTCAATCTTCTCTCTTAACAAAAAAATACTCACCATAGTAAGCTTTCTCATATTCGCCATGCTCAACAAAACGCCGAGCCAATATATCCGCTTCGAAGGCTTGACGTGAAATAAAATGATAATCGACGCCGGGAACTTCGTTATCGCGACGGGCACGGGAGGTATCTGTAAATGTTAGAAAAAAATCGTTAATAATTTGATTTATAAAGAAAAAGAGAACAATATCAGCAAAGCTATTTTTAAAAAATACAAGAATACTGAGAGCCATTAAAAATAGTTTTCCTACTTTTAATAAGGTCGGCGCAACCTCGGAAAAAAATATAAAAAAATCGGATATCTGAGAGTTGCATAAGATATTTTTCTTCAATATTTAAATGATATTCGCATCTTTAAAATATATTTTTAAAAATTCTAAAAGCTTCCTTAGTCATACTTCGGAAAATATTTAAAAGAAGTCCAAGGAATCTGAGAGTCTCAGAAGAAGTACATTTTGGAAATCTAAGAAAGTTTTCGAAATTTTTTTGAGATTTCACGGGATTCGAGAGCCATGAATTTTTGCGGAAGATCAACCCAGAAAATTTGAAAGTTCAATTATCTTTTTCTAGATTTTCTAGTTTTAGAAGTTAACTTAGCCAACCTTTAGAAAATATTTAAAAGAAGGCCAAGGAATCTGAGGGGTCTCAGAAGAAAATCTAATAAAGTTTTCAAAGTTATTTTGAGATTTCACGGGATCTGAATTCTTGCGGAAAATCTACACAGAAATTGTGTAAGATTCAATTAACTCCTTCCAGATGTTTCAACTCAAATTTAAGGTTTCCTATTCGGGAATCTTTTTAATTTACCCCTTAAATTTTCAAAATCTACTCTCAAACGGCATTTACATCAGAACTTTTTACCGGGTGAACCTACTTTATGAGGATTTATTTGACATGTATGCAATTAAACTGGGTTACTATTATCCTCCTTAGAGGTTTCTAATTTACTTTTGAATAAAAAAATTCGATCTACAGACACCTTCAAACTACATCTAGCAAAACTTCTAGCCTAAAAAACAAAATTCTCGCTAAGAGAACTATTTCGAATGTGGTACCTACTCTCCTCTTTAATATGTTCCTCAAGCAAATAGAAAACTAAATTTTGAAATCGAATAAAATAAAAATTATAGAACCTCAACACTTATAAAAATATTTGATTTTTCTACTTACGTGGCACTGCTGCTGAGAAACGATCCGAATCGGCCATTAAACGTTGACGCAATTCATGGCGTCCGATATTTGGCGGTCCAATCAAGACAATCGGTCGTTTGTGTGTGGCTCGGGGATAATACAGGGCAACCTCTTCATAGGTGAGTATTTCCTCGGGTTCGGTTTCATCGGGGGCGGTGGTGGCGTACAGGGGATAACTGGAAATAAGAGAGAGAAAATGAGATTAGATATTGATACAATTTGATATAAAATGAAGGAAATATGACCGCAAATGAAATATTTTTGAAAGTTCGGGAAAGTGAAAGGTCCTGAAACCGAAAATTATTGGAGATGCAATTTTCAAAGGAACTTGGCCAAGAAGGAAAGGTTAACTCCAATATAAATTGGACTGAAAATTATTGGAAATACAATTTCCAAAGGAACTTAGGCCAGAAAGCAAGGAAACCCCCAATAGAAATGGGACTGAAAATTATTGGACAAGAAGGAAAGGATAACTCCAATATAAATTGGACGGAAAATTATTGGAAAACCCATTTTCAAGAAGGTAAAGAACCTCCAATAGAAATTGGACTGAAAATTATTAGAATACAATTTCCAAAGGAACTTAGGCCGGAAGGAAAGGAACCTCCAATATAAATTGGACTGAAAATTATTAGAATAAATTTCCCAAAGGAACTTAGGCTAAGAAGAAAGGAAACCCCCAATATAAATTTGACTGAAAATTATGGAAATGAAAATCGACACCAAAATCGGGAAACTCCAATATAAATTGTACTGAAAAAATATGGCTTCGAATAAAATTAAAAACTCAAAATCATAATTTTATTCGACTTACCCCGCTTCTGAGCTGGCTTTCTTCTTCTTCTTGCGTCCCTTGCGGGCACACAGCAGCGTCGATCCCTTGGCCGCACCATCCTTACCGCCACGATTGCGTCCCTGCAATCCCGCCTCTTCGGCAATGGCCAATTTCATGGTTTCTCTTTGATGTTGGAATGACTGACTAGGTATTAAACCGGCCAATGTTTGATCTTCTTCACCTTCACGATATGCCTGCCACCAATTCGGATCTTCGCGGGAGATCACATGCAATACGTCACCCTTTTGAAAGCTAATACCCAATTCCCGGCATGGTATATACAAATCATCTTCAGGGTCATAATCAAAATGAGCCCTAACATGGAGTACAGCATTTTCACGATGATGGCCGCCACCGGGTGGTGGGCTACCAGCGGGTACTATTAAAAATGTCAATGTACCCTGCATTGTGCTCAACATGGCACAGACATCGTTGACCGTCTTGCCTCTCAGTTCCTGGCCATTGACTTCCAAAATTTCGTCGCCTTCATGCAGTAGACCTGACTTCTCGGCTGCTCCGCCTCGTACAATGCGTCCAATGACCACGGCTTCGCCTTCATTGCGCACTGTGGCGCCCAACGGTTCAGTCGATTTTTCAATTTTTATAATACGTATATTGTCATTTTGATCGTTCAGCATGCCGAAACAGGCACTGCTCATGGGTGGTGATTCGGGGCGATGACCAGCAACGGTTGGTTTCATGTGGGCATAGCCGGCCGTTGGGCCGCCAACTGTAGACGGATGGGCTGGAACATTGGGTGGTAAAGGCATTGCACTTCGCTGGGCCAATGGTGGTGGTGGTACAACGGGTGGGACTGGAGGTGCTACTGCTGATGCTGCTGCCGCTGCATTTGTGGGCGACAATGGCTGAGGACTGCCAATACCACTGAGCGAAGGTGAGGGGGTGCCATCCGTGTGGGTGGCAACACGATCATGGGCCAATAGCAGACCTTCCATTTCATGACTGGTCAGCAGGTTACCCAATTCAATTGCCGCTGCAGAATTGGACTTGGTCAGCAGCTCAACAATATCCTTTTGCAATTCCAGGGCATTTGTACAGACGGGTGTGGTGGCTTTGGAGCGGCGACGCTGCAATACCGCGGCCCTAGCGGCCAAGGCATGGGCCACACCCGGATTTGAGAGGATATTGTGGGCAGCGGACACTCGGCCGGCAAGTGTGTTCATGCCATTTTTACTCAGCTGGTTTTGGAGGCGTATCAAGGCGGCAATTAAATCACCATAACCTGGAAAGGAGAAAAGAGATCGGAAATTAAAAATCGATATAAAAAAGAAGGGATTTTTGCACTTACCATTAACTTTTTCCGCTTCCTCATCCTCCACATAGGCCTCATTTTCCACACCAATCACCGAACGCTCGGCAGCCACCGGCTGTTGCTGCTGGGCTGAGGGTTTATTGTCCTGCAAAGCTTTAAGTTTCCGGGAGCCACGTAAACTGGCACGCAAAAATTCATTTTGCTGGGCAATACGTTCCTCTTCCTCGCGTCGGCGTCTCAGTTGTTCCTGCAGGAGAGAAAAAAGAAGAATTAATTTCAATTTTTTTTCTTTTTTTTTTTTGAGACAAAAGGCAGAAGTTTTTTATAATCCCCTAAACATTGGCTGAAATGAAAATTAAATGCAGAACTTATCGCGAAATTCTAGATTTTTTATGGCTAAGTCCATAAAAATTCTTTTGTTATGCCTCTTTCAGATTTTCATTCTTCCTTGTTCAATTATTCATTTGTGTCGGTTTTAATCCTTTAACAATTGCCTTTAATTTAATTAGTTGCAGCTAAAACGGAATGCAGAACGGAATTCTTAGAGAAGGTATGAACGGCAAAAGTTCTGGCGACAATTGTAATATTTTTTTTTTTTCTTATTCTCTTTCTTTAGATGGAAGGCGGACTAAAAGCCGATGGAGGAACTTAGGATGGATCGGAAATTTTTTAACTGAAAAAAATTCCCAATATAAATTGGACTGAAAATATAAAAAAATCTGAAAGTAAACCAAATAGAGGATTGCAATACAAATAGAATTGCAAAATTCGGAGCCATAAGAGAAAACCTCTAAAGAACTTGCAGACAGTTTTCGAAGCCTTAGGAGAATTTTTGGTAGAAATTCGAAAAGAAAATCCCAATATAAATTGGACTGAAAATATTAAAATTTGGAAATTATCCTAAAATTGTAGAAAAACTCCATAGAAAACTGGAAAATCCTTAGCCAAAAAATTCTTAGGAAAAAACCTCCATATAAATTGTACTGAAAATGCACGGTAATCGGGAAACATTTCCCGCTCCTATATTACAGCTAGCGTTTTCATTTATTCGAAGACCCCTAATAAAATTTTATGGAGAATATTTTCTTCCTTCATATCAAACCACTATAACGACAATTAGTCGGAGATATTGCCACATTTTCGAAATACGCAAAATTTAAAAAATACCCATTTTTTAATTTGAATTTCTAAATTGTAAGCAATACTTCGGGCAAATATATTATAGGTATCGATTAGACTATAATGAGAACCTATGGTGAAATTTGATGTAGAATATAATTTCCATTGGTAACAATTGCCTAAAACTAAGTTGAGGGCAAGATATGGCCACTTTTTGAAATACGCAAAATTCGAAAAATACCAAATTTTGTCTATGGATTTTCAAAATGTAACCAATATTTTTCCGATATATATTACAGGTAGCGATTTGACTATAATGGAAACCTATAGTGAAATATTGTGTAGAATACAATTTTCATTGACACCAAATTGCTCAAATGAAGCTTTGGGGGGGAGATATGGCCACTTTTTGGAAATACGCAAAGTTGAATTAAAAGCATATAATTTTTCTCATATAGTATTACACATATTCCAGTGACACCTATCGCATATTCCGATTTTCTTTGTTCGAAGACCCTCAGTAGAATTTTATGGAGAACGTTTCCTTCGTTGATATCAAACCTCTAAAACCAAGTTTTAGGCGAGACATTTTGAAAATACGCTAAATTTGAACAAATACACATTTTTTATATGAATTTTAAAATTTTGGCCGATATTTCGTTGATATATATTATAGATACAGGTTGATATATATTATAGATACAGGTTTGTGTTTAGTGAAATTTTGTGTAGAATACATTTTCCATTGACAACAACCTCCTAAAATAAAGTTCAGTGGGAGATATGGCCACATTTTTTAAATACGCAAAATTTTAAAAGTACACATTTTGTTATATGAATTTCCAATTTTAAGGCGATATTTCTGCGATATATATCAGGTATAGTGATTTCGATTTAAAGGGAGCCCATAGTGAAATTTAGTGTAGAATACAATTTCCATTGATACCAACCTCCTAAAATAAAGTTCAGAGGGAGATATGGCCACATTTTGGAAATACGCAAAATTTGAAAAGTACACATTTTTTTATATAAATTTCAAATTTTCAGCCGATATTTCTGCGATATATATCAGGCATGGTGATTTCGATTTAATGGGAGCCCATAGTGAAATTTAGTGTAGAATACAATTTCCATTGACACCAACCTCCTAAAATAAAGTTGAATCGGAGATATGGCCACATTTTGGAAATACGCAAAATTTGAAAAGTACCCATTTTTTATATAAATTTCAAATTTTCAGCCGATATTTCTGCGATATATATCAGGTATAGCGATTTCGATTTAAAGGGAACCCATAATGAAATTCGATGTAGAATACAATTTCCATTGACACCAACTTCTTAAAATAAAGTTCAGTGGGAGAAATGGTCACTTTTGGCAAATACGCAAAATTTGAAAAAAATTCACATTTCCTAACATGAATTTTCAACTTTATGCCGATATTTCGCGGATATATATTATAGATACCGATTTGAATTTTATGAGAACTTATAGTGAAATTTTGTGTAGAATACAATTTCCATTGACATCAACCTCCTAAAATAACGTTCATTGGGAGATATGGCAACATTTTGACAATACGCAAAATTTGAAAAATACACATTTTGCTCTACGAATTTTCTAATTTTAGCCGATATTTCTGTTATATATATTAGATATAGTGATCTGAATCTAAAGGGAACCCGTAGTGAAATTTGACGTAGAATACAATTTCCATTGACACCAACCTCCTAGAATAACGTTCAGTGGGAGAAATGGCCACTTTTGGCAAATACGCAAAATTTGAAAATAAGTCGTCTTATTATATGAAATTCTAATTTGTAATCCATATTTCTGCGATATATATATATCAGGTATAGTGATTTCGATTTAAAGGTAACCCCTAGTGAAATTTGACGTAGAATACAATTCCCATTGACACCAATGTCCTAAAATAATTTTCAGTTGGAGGTATGGCCACATTTTGGAAATACGCAAAATTTGAATCAAGTTTAACCTCCATCCATCCATTACCCGCAAGCTTTTCTTTCTTGTCATAACTTATTTTGTGTTCAAAATTATGCATCAAAACTTTTCGTTCAGAATTCTAAAAAAAATAATGCGTTTTCGCATTTTCTTGTTCTTCTTCTTCATGCTGTCGGTTTTAAGCGCCACACTTAATGGGAACAGAAAACTTGCCTAAGGTTATAAGTGGTTCAACAGTGCAGGCCACTTTTTTTCGCCATTTATTACACCGACATTACCACAAACCTCTCTTGCCGCAGCGCTATGCCATGAAAGTGCAGGAAACCTGGAGCTTATTAAAGGTGGGAGGTAATCGAGGTGGACGGGTGGTGTTAGTAGGTGGCGGGTAAAAAATTGGCAAATGGCTCTGAGAGTTAAATAGTGTCGTCTTAATGCCTAAATGGCATTTTGTGAAAAACCAGAACACACAACCGCCTAGGTGGTGGCTTGGTTTGGGAAGGTAGTGCGGATTTTTTTTTTATTTTCAGTCCATAAGAATTTTGTTGCTTCCACATATTTTTTGTGTGTAGGAATGAAAGCATTGTTATTCGCCTGGTCTTATTGTAAATGCTAATGCTTTGTGTGTTGACAATTTAGAAACCTGTCAAGTGTTATTAAAATCAACAACTTGCATAAGTTAGGGATCGGAGAAGAAGAAGAAAAGGCGCAGAAAAAACAACAAGCGACACGAAAAAACGGTCAATCAGTACAAAAAGCCAAAAGGTGTTGACTGGGTGGGTGTCTCTTTTGGGGGCACACAAGTATCACAACCTCGGCGATATTTAGCGGCAAGAATCTCCTGACTAAGCCATGTTATTATATATGTATGCTGATTTTGTTGTTTATAGTATTTGAAAAAAATACCAAGGAAGAAGAGGAAGGAAAAGAAATAATTAAAAAATTCCAAAAAACTGAAAATTTCAATATAAATTGGACTGAAAAAAATTAAAAACTTAATAGAGAAAATCTCCAATATAAATTGTACTGAAAATCCATATCACAAAAAATCCAACAAACTTCTCATAATTTTTGTTTCCAAGTTCATTTCCTCCAAAGAGGTATTTCCCAACACCACCTTGCTGATATTGTGCAATATTCAAAAAAAAATTGAATACTGATTATATTACAATTTTGCTATATCACCATTTAAAGAAAAAAAAAATAACTCTGATAAAAAAAATGAAAGCCAAGAAACCAAAAGGCAATATCAATATTTTCCCATGATAAGATATGCGAAGAATTCGTTAAGTAAAACCAAAGACAAAAAATGCTGATAAAGAAAATTGAAAAAAATAGCAAGAATGCTAGGGTAAGGAAAAAGACGTCATAACTATGAGAGCAAAAAAAGCTAATAGTTATGGCATTCAAGAATGTGACTCAAAGTTTAATACTAGAAGAAATGCCAATTTTTTATATGGATTTTCAAATTCACCCGATATTTCCCTGATATATATTATATATAACGAATCGACTTGTGTGGGAACCTGTACTGAAATTCGATGTAGAATACATTTTTCATTGTCACCAAACGGCTAAAATTAAGTTTAATGGGAGATATGGCCGAATTGTTATAATGCGCCAAATTGAACCAGTACTTTTCCTTATCCTCAATATAGCCCCCGATTCCAGTACATATATTGAAGCTATCGGTTAAATTTGTGTGGAGACCCCTAGTAGAATTTTATGGAGATTATTTTCTTCCTCAATAACGAACCACTGAAACAAAGTTTAGTACGAGATATGACCACATTTTGAAAATACCCGAAATTCGAAAAATACAAATTTTTCAAAAGGAATTTTTCAATTGTAACTGATATTTTGTCGATATAATTTTTTATAACGATTTGTCTATAAGGGGAACCTAGAGTGAAATTTTACGTAGATTAAAATTTTCATTGACACCAAACTGCTAAAATGAAGCGTAGTGGAAGATATGGCCATATTGTGATAATACGCAAAGTTGTATTGAAAAATCCTTATTTTCAGCAAATTTTTATTTTTATTTTCTTGGTACATATATTACAGTTATCGATTCGGTTTGTTCAGAGATCCCTAGTAGAATTTTATGGAGAGTAATTTCTTCCCTGATACCAAACCTCTAGAACGACATTTAGTGTGAGATAT